TACAAATCTACAGTATAATTTTGCCTGTGGTTCTGTTGGGTGTGAAACTTGGTTTCACACTTTAAGGGAGGAACATAGACTGAGGGTGACTGAGAACAGGGTGTTGAAGAGAATATTTGGACCGAAGAGGGATGAAGTGACAGGAGGTTGGAGAAAACTGCATAATGAGGAGCTTCATAACTTGTACACTTCTCCAAGTATGATTAGAATGAACAAATCAAGAAGGATGAAGTGGGCAGGTCATGTGACATGAAAGGGGGAGACGAGGAATGCGTATAGGATATTGGTGGGAAAGCCAGAAGGAAAGAGACTACTGGGAAGACCAAGGAGTAGGTGGGTGAACAATATTAACATGGATCTAAGAGAGATAGTTTGGGATGGTATGGATTGGAATGATCTGACTCAGGATAAGGACCAGTGAAGGGCTCTTGTGAACACGGTAATGAACCTTCGGGTTCCATAAAATGCTGGAAAATTCTTGAGTAGCTGCAGAATTGGCGGCTCCTCAAGAAGGGCTCAGTTCCATGAGTAAGTAAGTAAGAGACCCATTGCTAGGCAACGACACGGAGAAACATATTTCCGCGGGGCCCAACGAGCGTAAAAATAGGACGCCTATTGCTAGACAACGGATCAGTAAACGCTCCTAAAACAATACAAGTGTTTTCCATTTGGTCCTCTCCGAGGATATATAACGAGAAGTTACAACGGAGCAGTTACTTGTTGTCAGAAGCTGAGAGAGTTCACTGGAAGAAGATTTCAATTAAGTTAGTTGTCGGGACTGTGTCAAGTTCTGGAGATGGCAGTCCAAGGTGACTGAGAAGACATGGCGAGGAAGGAATTAGACTGTGAAAAGAACATTTCCTTTGAAATTACAGTGAGACTGTTATAAATCCGTTGCCAGGATACGACTAATGAAGACTGAGAACCCTATTGCGTGTGTAGCGGTGAACTATAAAGAGTGTAGATCAGTGATAGCTCTGTATTACCTGTAGTTCCGAGTTAGGAATATACGTATAAGGCGCAATAAATCCAATCATCCAATCCAGAACCCGTCTTCTAAGTCATGCGCAAACCCCCTACACGTGAAAAAATAATAAATGAACTGAGCTACTTGCATATTCAATTCAATCTCTTGTTATATACGAGTACAACAGAATCAACGTGTTGTGTGACGGCACGAAATCCCCTAAAACTTAGACGCTGTTCTTAAAGAAGAAGAAACGACATTAGATTGTCTAGAATAGGTAAAGGTGCGTAGTTCATTGTTACGACAAACAGATGACTCTTCAGATTTAATTAAACGATACATCGATGCGAACTCGATTCGAATCGAACCGATGTTACTAATTAGTAGACTCCTAATGAAAAAGCACAATACCTAAATTTAAATTATATATTAGCTTCTCGTCATATCAAAAAACTAATTAACTTATTTTATGCAATGTATGTCACTTCATACAGAGATGTGAAACTTTTTCACTCAGAGTTGTTCTTATTGTTATTTCAAGACCATATATTTTGGGATGTGAAGCTTATTTTCGAGAGGGGATTATATTACTGCAAATAAGGCACATGTAGGATTAAAAAAGTAATATTTTATAACGCCATAAAATTACAGCCATGTTTAATTAGATATATTGTAGAAATTTCGACTTGGCAATTCACCGAAACCTATGCCAAGTACCTAGGGGACACAATTTGGCGCTTGGGGTTACATGACCGAGCGCACAGCCATCATTTCATTTAATCATTATGTTGGTCATATACGAAGAAATTCTTCCATGAGACGCAAGGAACGGTTTACTATTGGTTACAGGGACAGAGGCTAAGGTTTGGAGAATAATTAGAAAGGGTTAATTGAATTCAGCATCGTAAAACGGACGGATGTAAATCCCAATGTGCGAAAGAGAAAAGGAAACACAAGATATTGAGCTGCAGCTGTTAACACAGTCTTTATCAGCATTGCTCGGAGCTGAATTTACTTCAATCGTGTGTATTTATGGGTGTGTTTGTCTTTGTGTTTGTATAGTTCGCCTGCGGGCAAAAACCATGGAGTTTTTTTTATGTGTATGTTTGTTTCTGTGTGCTTGTGTTTGTGTGTGTGTTTGTATGTGTATGTTTTTTGTGTATTTTATTGTGTGTGTTTGTGTTTTATGTGTATGTTTGTGTGTGTGTGTGTCCATCTCTTCTTTATACTATTTTCCAAACAGTCACACACATTTCGACGAAATTTGTCAATATACTCGTAGTAGATTAACTTACTGGGAAAGTTCTTTTTTAAATATCTGAAAACCCTCACCACCACCAAAAATAGACTTAGAGACTCCGAAAGACAATTTCTTGCTTATTGCTTGAGAACCACTCATCCTAACAAACTGAAGTTTCTGTGTTAAACAGAGCTTAGAAAGAAAACTGCCGTTTAGTGTACGTTACACTTTAAATTTTCCAAAAAATTAATAGAAATCTTTAAAAAAATCACAAAAAGCGAAGATTAATGTTTTAATGTATTCGAAAATTTCCTTACACTGACCGGGTACCGTTGAGTAACCCAGCCATTAAGTCAGACCGGGTACGAGATTCCTACACCCGTTACCACGAACCGTACGGTCCTTTGGGCTATAATTCCGTGTGGCCAGACAGAGGTCCACAGTTTTCTGCTTGATTACTGTTAATTTCCTTCTTGGCTTATTCTTACTCGCTGATGATGGGGGCGAAACGTTCCTCCGAAATGTTCGTGGAATTCTGCCGAACTACATCTCGTTAAATCCCACAGGATCGGGCTCTACATTAAATTACATCGCATCAACACATGTTAATATAATGCAATATGAATCCCTGCATGGGGTTAATCTCTCGTCTGAAGGAGAAGCATAGACTTAAGATGCGTGAAAACATGGCGTTCAGAGAGATCTAACAAGGACAGAATTTATAGGAGAAGGGAAGCTATAAAATAATGAGGACCTTAATAATTTAAAAATTAAGGATTATGAACTGGGATAGGGTATGCAGACCGAATGGGAGACAGCAAATAAGAATAATTTTTCATGGGACAAACTGAAAGGAAATTATATCTTAGAAGATATGAGCATAGATGTGAGGATAATATTAAAATAATATGAATTAATAAAACAGTAAAAATTCTGTAACTTTCATTCGTAGCCGTATACCAGACTGTACTGACACATCGAGAAAGGGAATAATCTATATTGTCACGTGACAAATAATTATGGATTTGACGGAGCTGTTTTATTGGATAAGTATGCCAGGCGGAACTACAGACAGTTATCACACACGATAATTATAACACTTCATAACTGCGAACAATGGACACACTCTAATGTTCTTGTAACTACGTCACATGAAGGCTTCTGTCGGTTCTCCCCTTGCTGATCACTGATCTGATCTCCGCCCTCGTCTTCTCCCGACGTCTTCTTGTCGAATCCGCTCGAACAGTCTTCACTGCTCCATATACAGGCTCGGCAAGGACCACCCACAGAAAACACATCGCTGCTCAGCAACGGATATCACTTATTGTTGTCAGGAACCTTGTTCCAAAGAAACTTATTGTAGGTAACAAACGTGCAAATCCTGCCTCAAGAATTGCGAACGGGTTCTTTTCTTTGCAGGAATTATTCAGCGAATTCTATTTCGGAAATAACCGCTAGTAGATAATTAATATTTTATTAATTTATTTAATTTTCATTCCGTAAATTAGAACATTTCCTCAATAACGTCACAGGAAGTAAAAACAAATGTAGGAAGGGAAAGAAATTATAAGACGCGTTCGCTTTTTCTTACCTCCAAGGCGTTTTCCAAGAAACGGAATTCCGTTATTTCATTTTATAATTTCCACGAAGGGCCATATGAAGTGTGATTTCAAGCTATAATTTCTGGCGGCACGTTTCTATTGATCTTTAATTAGGTCGCAGAAACTTCCATTTCAGTGCGCTTGGTGCTACTTCCAGGAAATTTACCCAACNATCCTGAAAATGGAGGCAATACGTTCCTCCGAAACGTCGGTTAACACCATATATATATATATATATACACGCTGCCAAATCCCAGAAGACTGCTTTCTTCATAGTCACCGCCGTGAAAGCCTCAAATCTTACAAAGATTCCTGTTACTTATATCTGTTAGAGGTTGAGTCAACCGCAGGGCCATAATGCGGCTGGAAGGATTAGGTCAATCGAAAAATCCAATGACTTAATCGGGAATCGAACCCACGACCTTCCAGGCTATTGCATAGTGCCTCAACCAACTACGCTATGCTACCCATTTTCATCGTGGAGAATCGTACAGATGAGGCAATGAACTGCAGGCTACTAGGAGTTATTCACGTACCTCCCAACACAGTGGCCGCGCTTTCTAGGGCATGAACTATCTACGCCCCCTCAAACACTGGGGTCGTGGGTTCGAATCCAACTCCAGACACAAATGTTTGCGTTTATTCTGTTTTCGTGTTTTCCTGTGTAGGTGGCGGCCTCGCAACGGGCTGATCCCTCGTCCAAGGGGACCTACAAACTGTCTGCATAATTAAGAAAATGTAGAGCAGAGGCCAAGGTTCATCATGGCCTGTAGCGACCACAGAATAGAGCAAAAGTAGTCTATGTACCAGATCGCAGATAACGAAAGCACAAATGACGAGTCACCTGGTGTGAAGCATTGTGACTCAGATGAGTCAGTACGTCAGTTGAGTCCAGCCTCAGGACGAGATGAAAGAGACAAGATGATCTGAACGATCCCAGAGTCGTCAGACAGTAAACTATGGTCGTGTTCCCCGTGAGAGTCGGAACCAAGAATCATTGTGCTGTCGAGGACCAGCAGCAATTTAAGCGACCCAACGACCGACTGACCGACGGACGGAGACTCACCTGTATTTGTATTACATTTAAGACGGTAGGTCAACGTATGTAAGTTCGGTTAGAGAGATTTCATCGTATTATAATAATCAAGCATGAAGGATTCTTAAGCAATTACTGAAGCGGGAAATTACTGACCTGACATGCTGACAGGGATGAAACGCAGCGGGGTTGTCCTGATTCGAAAACTTGGGTAACGACCCTTGATGTAAGGTGAGTCGTATCACAAGCAGCAAACTTAGCTGAAAGTGAAAAAAAAAATCATCAGAACATCAGCAATATGGTCACACATATATTTTTATATTATACACATTGGTAGAATGCCTGTTCATTATTCAAAGGTAAAATCGAACATTTCACATCATTAGGTGTGGTTCCCGCATATAATCATTTCATTTATCCAGTTGGATACATCATGAACGTTGAGGGGAAATTTCAAGGCCCGATTTCGCCGAACTTTGAAAATTCTTGAAAGAAAATTTCATTTAATAACAATAATAATATTAGTGATTCGTGTTTATGGCCCCGTGACTAATAATTACGGCATTTGGTTTGATGATCGGATTTATTAACAACTTTTACAATCTTTCTTAATCACAATTAGTTTTAGCGCTATAGCTAATCCACCCAATTCACAAATCACTAGAACAAGCTGTCTCTTATTCTTCACTAGTCGTATCCTGGCAACGGATTTTTAGCAGTCTCACGTTAAGTCTTCTCTTCACAGGCTGACTTTCAACAGAGAAGTGAAATTAATCGAATTACAACTGGACTGACAACTACTGCTGGCTTTTCCTTATATAGCCTCGGGTTGAACCACAGCGCAGAAAACACATCCGTTGCCTATCAATGGATATATGAGAACCACATAGAAAACACCCTTTTCGACACTAGCGGCATAATACACACATATCACATGATCGCTATCCAGCCAGTCTATTGGTGCGTCTTTCGGATCTACAGAAAACACAGTTTCCTCTATTTTTGCGTGTTTGACCGTGTTTACAGAGCTCTTGCCTGGCAACGTGTTAATCAAATCCGTTACAATATAATAACTTAGATAATTTTTTTTCGTTTTTCGTGGAATTGACTCAACCACAAACAGACAAATAATAAGGCAGATCCTACCATTCTGAGTCTACTTATATATGGACAGGCTTGCCAACTTTTCAGCTTACTTTCCTTATTCTGAAAAAAAAAGGAAAGCTTATAAGGTTACTTTGTTGTATGTGTGTACTACCGAAAATTACTACGCAACGGCTTGGAAAATGCATTTCTGCGGCAAACAAATACACACACAACAGTGGAAGAACTGTTGACCTTGTTTGTGTGTCTTCCCCGAAGTTGCTAGGCAACAGTTCGGCAGAAACTTTCCTGCTGCAACGAATACACATGCAACAATAGAAGAACTGTTAAACCGGGTGTTTTGCATGCGCTCCGTGACGTGTCAGATGAAAAATATATAGTGAAAGAAGAGCAGAAGATTAGTTCTTCCCAGAACTTCTTGCATGCTTATACACAGACTGCGGAAAGAATTCGTATGTATTGAGCCCCTTTACATGTCCCTCGAGCTGAGACGTTTGGTTTCAATAAATATTTATATAAAAATGACAAAACGTATCAAGTGGGCCTATATTGAAGCCTAGCCTACATTTTGAAACAAAATATTAAGCAGAGTGAAGTTTTATATAATGTCAACAATAAAACATACTGTATATCCTGAGAAGAGAAAATATTGAATATACTTACATTTAAAGTTATGTGAAATTCATAGCAGTATCAACATTATAAAGTAGGCTTCCATTCCGTTCGTTTCCCTTTGTATTTATTTAACATGTCAAAATGCATGATCTTCCCTTCCTGTTGCCCCAGAGAGACCGAACTACGCACCCTTGATTTCAATACACGTAGTAAGAAGACAATTCCGCCATGTTGATAAAACAGAGACCATAAGAGTTGTAATATGCAATAAGATGGCATCTGAGGCTCCTTTTTTCCTCCAGGAAAACACTCTTTTTTTTTCCTTGGCGCTACAGCCCCAATTTGGGCCTAGGCCTACCTCCATGAAACTCTCCGTTCACTTCGGTTTTTCTAGATCTTACACATTCGGTAGGACTCCTTGGGCGGGTTATCAGCTCGTCGCAAGGCCTCTACCTGTACACAAACACAGAAAAACGCACACAAACATCCATGCCCTGAGTGGGATTCGAACCCACGATCCCGGCTTACCGAGCGAGCGAAGACAGTCACGCCTTAGACCGCTCGGCTACCGTGACCGGCAAGAAAACACTTACGTTCATTAACTTTAACATAATGTCCTACTGAACTCTTAGCCGCTTTCCAATCAACTACATATGTTGGATTTTGACGTTCAACTATAAAAAAAACTCCGTGGTTTTAGTCAGCAAGCGAACTATACCTACTGAGCGACCGCCGCTTGTCGGCAAAGTTAGTGCCAACTTTAGCGGATAGAGGGTGTCGCGTGGTCAGCGCAACGGATTCCTACGGCCGTTAATCTCGGTTATATATACCGGAGCCGATATTTTTCCATTCATGTAGCCCCTCAATTATCCTCATGAGGCTGAGTGGACCCAGTTCAAGACCCACTACTTCTCAGAAAATCTCGTAGCGCCGGGATTCGAACACGGGACCTCTGGATTTGCAGCCAGGAACTCTGACCACTAGACCACAGCGGCGGTTTTTGATGTTCAATATCTTTCTAAAACCATAAATACGGAATTATTCATATATAGACATTTCATATAGAATATTGGTGGGAATGCAAGAAGATAAAAGATCACTAGGAAAATCCAGACGCGGGTAAGTGGATAATATTAAAATGGATCTTAGAGAGGTATGATTGGATGGTATTGAATAAAATTTGGCTCAAGTTAAGGACCAGTTGGAGGGCTCTTATGAACACGGCAATGAACTTTCGAGTTCAAAAAAATTCTGGGAAATTCTTGAGTAGCCGCACAATTGACAACTTCTCAAGAAGGGCTCAGCTGTAGATGTGTACAGTCGCTTTCATTGTAAAGCTACAATTATTGATAATAATGGCAATAACTCCAGTCACTTACGAGAGTGCTTGCCAACAGCAGTGGCCTATTACAGTGAATCATATAAAATATATATTAGGTACAAATTAAAATGAAGGAATAAAAAGAAATAAATTAGTAATACGATGAAGGAAAAGAAAGTAATAATTCTAGATAAAAACAGGATAAGACGACCGTGAAATCGGGTTTTGATTCTCGGCAGGGGGAGAGGTTTCTCCGTTTTCAATAGCATTCAGATTGGTTGTCGGGACCCAACCAGCGTCATACCCGGTGTTTCCCGGGTTACTGGCAGTTCTTTCTCCGGAGGTAAAGCGGCCGGGGCGTGAAATTAACAACTAACCTCCATCTCATCCCGAGATTGGGAATAAGTGGAACTATACCTCATCTCCCCAACACACCGTCATTATTCAGTCAAGCACAAGGACAATGTAACCTTTTAATATTATAATACGCCGATTTAAGAGGCCGTGTGTTCTGAGCCATGAGTTGTTTCTGCTCGCTCGAACACTGGGATCGTGGGTTAGAGTCCCACTCAAGGCATGGATGTCTGTGTCCTGTGTAAGTAGCGGCCTTGCGACGAGCTGACCTCTCGTCTGAGGAGTCATACCGACTGTCTGGAAGATTCGTAATTTCAGAATCAATTAATTCTGAATGGACACAGGCCAAAGGTGGTAGTAGTAGTAGTAGTAGTAGTAGTAGTAGTAGTAGTAGTAGTAGTAGTAGTAGTAGTAGAAGACGATATAACACTAACCTATGCCCTGAAAGGGATTTTAAGCCAAAGTACCAAGTGTATGAACAAGTGCATGTCAAAGCGTCCTCATGTATGTTAATNTTTACCGTTTCTCACGGTGTTGTCGCTTGCAGAATTCTTATACTTTTTCTTCTACCCTGAAGATGGGGGCGATACGTTCCTCCGAAACGTCGGTTAACACCACATATACACGGTGCCAAATCCCAGAAGACTGCTTTCTTCAATATTTTAGTTGGCTTTGTCTGTACTGAGATTGCACAACGCCTGAAAATGGAATGAATGATGACTCCACTCCGAGATTCGAACGGAGTACCTCCTGAATATCAGCCTAGAGCAACACTGCTTCACCAAAACCCTTCGGTAAGCACGTCAGACAAATATACAAATCTAGTGCAGTAATTATCTGCAAATTAAATATCAATATCGTCAATATTGTGTGGTTAAACACGTGGTTCTGAACTGGTAAAGGCGACGACCTAATTATTGTATGTTTGAAATTCTACTGCAAACATAGTTGGCCGGCCCCTGTTGATAGACCACACGCCGGTTCTACTGCATGGCACACTACACGTTAGGTGACGTCAGCGACACCAGTGGCCCTGCTGTATTGCTATCCTTACAAGCTTCGGAAAGGCTGCATGGACAGCGAAAACATTTACCGCATAAAGAGTGGAATAATGGGGATTCATTATGCATTTATTTTGATGGGGTTTCAACAATTATGCATTTATTTGTTCCTACGATTCCACTTATGTCTTTATTTTCTTATTTATGTTGCCATTGCATATCACAGCGACCGCGCGGTCTGAAGCATGAACAGTCTTCGCTCGCTCTAAAGCTGGGATCGTGAGTTCGAATCCCACTCAAGGCATGTATGTCTGTTTGCGTTTAGTCTGTGTTTGTGTTGTTCTGTGTGTAGGTAGCGGTCTTGAGAGGGGCTAATCCCCCGTCCAAGGAGTCCTACCGACTGTGCAGATTAATAAACTGAAAAAGCGGCCAAGGCCCGAAGAAGGACGGTAGACAGAGACACACACAAACGGACAGACAGACAGATAGATATTGCCATTATCGTTTAAGAGCAGATTAAAGTCGGACGATGCTTGCTGCCATTCAGTTCAAAACATTTTGTACATTTTGCTGATTTGTAGAGTGTGGAAATCAGCGGTAGCAGTATAGTTATTTGTAGTTACTACCTGTTAAGTGGTCATTAAGCCGGTCACGGTAGCCGAGCGGTCTAAGGCATGCACTGTCTTCGCTCGCTCGGAAGCCGGGATCGTGGGTTCGAATCCCACTCAGGGCATGGATGTTTGTGGGCGCTTTTCTGTGTTTGTCTATAGCTAGAGGCCTTGCGACGAGCTGATCACTCGCCCAAGGAGTCCTACCGTATGTGTAAGATCTAGTAAACCGAAGTGAAATGGAGAGGTTCATGGAG